GAAGCAGAGTTTAGGAACTTAAAGGAGCTATACCCGTTTCTGCAAGGTTTGAATGTTTAGCACCGCCCCCAACTCGCTCACAGGCTTCTCATTTCCCCTACACTCTCATCCCACGGAGCCATCTAGTTGAATTTGCGATCTGATGCTAACATTAGCATTAGCGCAACTTAAGCTGTACAACAATCACTGATGAAATAGTAAAAAAAGCAACGCACTGCGAACAAAATATATAACTGAAAGATTACCGCTAGTTTCGCGTCCGAATGTAGTCAGAGCGTAGATAGTTCGAGACAGTCCCGCAGGTCTCTCCCATGGACAAGTCTCTCCAGACGATACGATGTAAGCTAGCTATGTTTACCCGGGCTTGATTTCTTCTTTGATAATTTTTTCACTTCAGTTCCCTGTTCTCTTCCTCACGACCTGAAGGGCAACAGCCCTTCAGGTCGCAGCAGCATAGATTGAGTAGCCTCTGGGTGGAGCAGGACGGGTCGCAGCAGCACCAATTCTGCTGCGACCCGTCCAGGATCAGCACCAATTATAGCCAATTCTATATCTGTGGCTTTCAAGTGCAGCCTATATATGGACAAAAATGTGAGATTTCCCGTGTTTTTAATGTATTTTTTTGGCCCCTTGCTGCTCAAATGAATTGCCCTTGGTGGGATCAATAATGTAGTCTGCATCTAAATCGGAACCTCTTGACATGCCCTATGCAATTGAGTGTTATGCAAACTGCTTCATTTGTGATTGTTGATATTATTACTGCTGCTTGTGTCTGCGCTCTGCCCTGGCCGGAGGCTGCAGACAGAACATTTAATCTGGAGTCTGAATACTGCTCTGGTGAACTGGCAGCAGAGAGGGTTGGTGGAAGGGCATGAATGCTTTGGACTTATTCTTCAAACTTGGGTGAAAAAAGTGCATAGGTCTGTGCCGTAGACTGTAAATATTAGCTGTGCTCAATATGGACTTGTTTGTTGTTGAATAATATTGTTTATATTAAAGCATTTTTAACAAACAACATATGAAATACAGGGACATGTGTGGAAGAGAGATGTGTTTCAGTTTTCTTTTCACTCCTCAGCCCATTGTGCTGTAACTTCTCGATTAAATATGTGTGTGTAATAATAATAATAATGTACTGGTTTAATATAGCACTTTTTTGGACACTCAAAGACGCCTCACATGTCATACGGGGGTGATAAACTACTACTATAGCCACAGCTGCCCTGGGGCATACTGACAGAAGTGTTCTTGTTTAGGAGAATAAAGGAAGACTGAGTTTATACAGTTTTGTAATAACGCAATATATTGTACTGTACTTTCCCCATTGTGGGACTAATAAAGGTATTATTCATTGAATTACCATACCAGTAAAAACAAATCTAATCTAATTACAAATCAAGAATTGTCAATATAGGAATAAAATTATGGTTTGTATAATTAGGCAACGCAAGTTTATTTGTATAGCACAGTTCATACACACGGTAACTCAAGGTGCTCAACAAAACAAGGCATAACAATCATAATCACATTACATTCAAATAGTGAAGAGACAATCCTTCAGTTGTTTGCACAGCTAAACCAAACTGTTTTCACCTGGATTTGAACATTTTAAGGAAGCATTTGTGAATAATACAATTCTTCCCAGTTGCCCAGTCATATTTAGAAATTAAAAGTTGAAACAAATTAAATTTGTAAACATTACTACAAAAATGTACAGATGTTAGATATTCAGTCTTTTTTATGTTAAGTTGATGTAATTATTACTGTGACAGGATCAGGATCATTTATCAGCTGTGAACTTTGACCTCTGTGTCAGTGTGATCTCCGTATGACTCTGGGATAAAGTTCAGAGCAGCTGTGACCAAGGAAATGTCATTGTAACTCGGGTTTTTAAATTTCAAAGTACTTATTGGATCTTTTTCTAATGGATTATGAAAAGGAGGAAAAGATTTTGGATGGCAGGTAAGGGCTCCATATAAATTATAATAAATAACTAAACCTTAGTGTTTTGTCATCTACCACAGTGTTAATGTTTGGCCATTTCTGTTTTGCGAGAAAACTATTCTTTTAAAAGCTGTCTTTGCCCATCACAGGGTTCACTCTACTTTGTCATGTAGGGCTGTAATTAACTGTTATGGAATAGTTGTGTGATTATTCCTTCCTGAAAAGCCAAAGAATATGTTTATAGATTCAAACAAAACAAAGCCAAACAGATAACATTCGAGAACAGGTTAATAGTTAAAACGTTGAAAGGTTAAAAATATATTATCTTTTGTGCAAGATATATTATGTACTGCAATAGCAGTGTGAGTTTTTTCAGTCCTAGTGCCGGTGACCTTGATAATAAATGTCATGTTTTAACACAATTCTAGAGTTCTAACTCAGATTTGTTTGATCATCAATTGTCTAGCATCTATTCAATTTTTATTATCTGCATTTTAATTCAGAATTAATTCACTATGTTTAAATCTGTGTTAAAAACACAGTTTGGACTAAATTAGAAAATTCTCTCGGAGCGCATATACTCCACCAACATACAATTTAAATGGGGTCTTCCCACCATCACATACTATTTGCACACCAATTTATCTCAGTCTGTCCAGCAGTTTTTGCACAATCCTGCCTGCAGACACTCGCACAGACACATGCACAGACACACGCACACGCACATGCACATGCACAGACACAGACACAGACACAGACACAGACACAGACACAGACACATGCACAGACACATGCACAGACACACGCACAGACACTCGCACAGACACTCGCACAGACACACGCACAGACACACGCACAGACACACGCACAGACACTCGCACAGACACTCGCACAGACACACGCACAGACACACGCACATGCAGACACTCGCACAGACACACGCACAGACACTCGCACAGACACTCGCACAGACACACGCACAGACACACGCACATGCAGACACTCGCAACAGACACACGCACAGACACACGCACAGACACACGCACATGCAGACACTCGCACAGACACACGCACAGACACTCGCACAGACACTCGCACAGACACACGCACAGACACACGCACAGACACATGCACAGACACACGCACAGACACACGCACAGACACATGCACAGACACACGCACAGACACTCGCACAGACACACGCACAGACACTCGCACAGACACACGCACAGACACACGCACAGACACACGCACAGACACTCGCACAGACACTCGCACAGACACACGCACAGACACACGCACATGCAGACACTCGCACAGACACACGCACAGACACTCGCACAGACACTCGCACAGACACACGCACAGACACACGCACATGCAGACACTCGCACAGACACACGCACAGACACTCGCACAGACACTCGCACAGACACACGCACAGACACACGCACAGACACATGCACAGACACACCACAGACACACACAGACACACGCACAGACACATGCACAGACACACACACAGACACTCGCACAGACACTCGCACAGACACTCGCACAGACACTCGCACAGACACCGCACAGACACACGCAAGACACACGCACAGACACACGCACAGACACACGCACAGACACACGCACAGACACACGCACAGACACACACGACACACACGCACAGACACACGCACAGACACACGCACAGACACACGCACAGACACACGCACATGCACAGACACACGCACAGACACTCGCACAGACACTCGCACAGACACTCGCACATGCACAGACACTCGCACAGACACACGCACAGACACATGCACAGACACATGCACAGACACACGCACAGACACACGCACATGCACAGACACTCGCACAGACACACGCACAGACACACGCACAGACACTCGCACAGACACACGCACAGACACATGCACAGACACATGCACAGACACACGCACAGACACACGCACATGCACAGACACTCGCACAGACACACGCACAGACACACGCACAGACACACGCACAGACACACGCACAGACACACGCACAGACACACGCACATGCACAGACACTCGCACAGACACACGCACAGACACTCGCACAGACACTCGCACAGACACACGCACAGACACACACACAGACACTCGCACAGACACTCGCACAGACACTCGCACAGACACACGCACAGACACACGCACAGACACACGCACAGACACACGCCACAGACACACGCACAGACACACGCACAGACACACGCACAGACACACGCACAGACACACGCACAGACCACAGACACAGCACAGACACACGCACAGACACACGCACAGACACGCACGACACAGCACACACACGCACAGACACACGCACAGACACTCGCACAGACACACGCACAGACACACGCACAGACACACGCACAGACACACGCACAGACACACGCACAGACACACGCACAGACACACGCACAGACACTCGCACACACAGACACTCGCACAGACACTCGCACAGACACTCGCACAGACACTCGCACAGACACTCGCACAGACACTCGCACAGACACATGCACAGACACATGCACAGACACTCGCACAGACACACGCACAGACACACGCACAGACACACGCACAGACACACGCACAGACACACGCACAGACACACGCACAGACACACGCACAGACACATGCACAGACACATGCACAAGGGTAATTGGTTGACCACTCTTTTGTGACCTTGTTAAAGCCCCACTTGGGCCCTCCCACTAAAAATGTAAGGACGGGACACCATCAAATAGTTATAGTAGTAAATCTTTATTCCAGACTCAAGGTCCATATAAAAGACAATAGACACCACAAGACACACAGACAAATAAATAAAATAAAATAAGTCATTATAGAGAACATTGTATTCAACTCAAATCTGTATGAGGAGGTGTGTAACTCATTGTTGTGTGTGTGTGTGTGTGTGTGTGTGTGTGTGTGTGTGTTCCGCAGGTGGCGACTGACCGAGTTGCTGGAAAGCTGAGTTCGACTCTCTCATGGGTGAAGCAGTCGGTCAGTCACATGGCTAGCACAGTGGCCACACCCATGTCCCTCCCGAGCTCCTCTGCGCCCCTGTCCCCCTCCCCTCCAGGACTGTCCCCGTCTACCCCGGGACTGTCCCCCTCCACTCCGGGACAGCTCAGCCCCGATGAGTTGGAGCTTCTCGCCAAACTGGAGGAGCAGAACAGGTAAAAGACTGTTTCCCAAACATTTTGGTCCGAGTCTGAGTACTCCCACTCTGAATGATTGTGTATTGTATAGATGGGCAATGCTAACACACTATGTAGCCCAATATGGAAATGCTCATGAGTGAAGTTTTGTTCCAACTTGCTTTGGCTCCTATTGACTTGCATTTATTAGTTAACTTCTCTAGCTCAGTAACCGTGTGTCCCAATCACCATTTTGGGCTTATTTAAAACTGAGGTTCACTGCTCTCTGTGATTTGTGTGATTGCTTTTGATATAATTTTTTTGAAACTCCAGATACATAAGCTCCAACAACTAACCAATCAGGTGTCCTCTTTCCTCAAATATGGTTTTAGCTAGCAAGTAGCACGGGCGGAAACAGACCAGTGACTACAGATTTGGCTCTTTGGTTGCAAAAGCATAAGGAGCTGATGAGACTCAATTTCAATGTATTTTTGTATACCCCTAAATCACAACAATCATCTCAAATGACTTTACAAAGTTGTTGATTCGCCAACAACAGATCAGAGAATCACACATTGCAGGCAACAATAACAAACACACAGGAGCTATTGGACTATACCAGTGCTTGGGGAGGGTGTCGGCACTTGTCTGCACTGGTCACATTATGGCCACGTTACGGCTGCTCACTTACCGCGCTGTTATAGTGCTTGATAAAAAAATCTACCTGAAAAGAACATCCAAACTTGAAAATGAAGTGGTCAGCATAATTCCATAATATAAAGTACTTTCAGAAAATGGTGATATAGAAAAGGCTTTGGCCCCAAACCAATAGTCACTTTACAAACTCTCAAAATGTGTTTGCCATCTACACTCACTACACGTTAGATATGAGAATTTTTAAATACCATACAGACGGCAAAGACAGTTCTTTCCTACCTGTTTTCTTCTTTTTACTGTTTTTGAATGAGTGTTTTGAGTCTAATGCAATGGGCTGAGTTGTCCGTCCTGCCCCTCTGTTTGTGTTGTGTGCTTTAAAGAGCCCTTTGTACTGAGGCCAGAGAAACATTTGAGCATTTGTCCAGAGTCTGACACGAGGAATGAGCTCCAATCTGAGGATCTGAAATGTTTTGACTTTAGATCAGGCGTGAACAGGGCAGCATGAGTTTAAACTGGTAAGACGCTTTCATTTCTCATCTTTGTCGAGTTGTTGTATCGATCTACAAAGCTAAATGCGTTTATGTCACATGAACTTTCTAAAAATGAGAAAGTAAAGTTAGATTTCATAAAGCCGATCACGTTCTGGTGCTGGTGATCGATCTGCTGAATGAACACTAATTGTTGTGTCATGAAATTATGTGCAATACGTTTTTTTCCCCAATAATGCATAGAATTCATGTTTTTATTGATGTGATGTATTTGCATTTTGGACATGACAATACATGACATATTACACTTACATTTCAGATAACTGTAGTTCTGCCACACAATTAAAAACGAGCAGAGAAAAGAAAAAAATCTTGATTTGCCTGCCCATTTTTTTTTATTTTTTACAATGCACTATACAAACATTTTCGGATACCTGTCATTAAAGATAAGCTTGACCCCGTTAACTACTTCCTAAACCATATTCTAATCCTGAATTTGCTTGAATTGTAAATTGATGGCAATTTTCTGTCTTTGTAGTTTATTTTTTCCACATTTTAGCAGTAACGTTCAGACTTTTGTTTGACCTGTGGTAAATTATTAGTCAAGGTGCACTCATCCAAGGTTAACCAAGCTCCGTTTTTACTTTTTTTGAGAGTAGATAACTTCTGCCTCCTTAATATTGATATCGTATGATTGTATAATGACGTGTACTAATAATTGCACAATGAAAAACAAATGTATGCACAAAAGGCCTGTGATTTACAATCATGTTGATAATTGATTGGTTGGATCATTTTTTTCCCGATGGACTGCTTAGTTTAGATCCAGAAAGGTTATCGAATGTTTTTTGAAAAGTCCTATACAAATAAAGATGTATTATTAATATCTATTAAATAAATTTGACCAAAATAAACTCAAGTGATGCCCCTGAGAACGTCTTTAAAAATAGGTCTTTTTACACATTGAGTTGTATGATTTAAAAAATACTTTCACAAACTTTCATACTTCTGTCATTATAGAATTAATAGTCACTAAACCTCTTCTCACATGTTTCTATGTGTTTCTCACAAGTCTATGTAAGGGTCATAAAAACGATTGATCAATTCCCAAAATATTTCAATAATCAATTACTTGTGAGAAATTGAGGATTTTGTTGAAAAAAAAAAAAAGTAAACATAATTCTCTATAACCTCCTGACCTCCTCCTGACCTCCTCTGTTTGTTTTTCTTCCTGAACAAACTTACCGGATCATTTCAGATCAGTGATTCTGGTGATGGCGTTTGCAATACACTATGGCACAGTCACACACATGCTCTGGGTTTATCTCTCACCCTGGCCACAATTAAGGAAAATTAGATAAAAATGAGTTTGATATATTGTTATACGACTCAGTGCTTAGTAAACTCTTTGCTGGACCATGACTGTCACTCTCTGTCTGCTCTGTCAGAGCAGCTTCAGTGACACACTTATGCACCCTCTGTGTGAAGGAGAGGTTCAGCAGGTCTTTCCTTCCTGCTGATGTCAGATTGTACAATGAGAACTGCTGTGCCTGTACATGTCATTCATCTGCAAATGGTAAATACTGTAATCATGTGCAACGTGAAAAACTGCAACTTCAGAATGTCCACTGAATGTCACTTTATCTACTTATTATCCTGCCCTTTATGAAAGTAACTTGTATCTATATTGGATAAAGCATGTACACCACAGCTGGCTAAAAAATAGCAGCCTCTTATATTGTATATTTTGTGTGCTCTTACTATTCTGTGCACTGCAACATTGAAATTTCCCCACTGTGGCAGGTTTAAAGGTTTTCTTATCTTCTGTTATCTTACTTTATAATTACTTGTGTATTTTTCTAAATTATCATTCTAAATGACTATTTTGACAAAACTGGCACAGCGAGAATCCATGTGTTTGATATTTTGCTGTCACCAGTTTGAGTGTAATCACCTCCCACACCACACAAATCTATCTGTGCGCTGTGACACTAAGCCGTCAGCAGCAGAGTGACGTGTGGCTGCGTTTTCCGAGATCCGGTGACTCGACGCCTTTGTGCATCAGTGCCCAGTTTCTCCAGATCAGGTTTCGTACACTGTGGCTCTGATGACAAACGAATAAAACCACTCTTCGAGAAACAAGGGGGCATGTTCATTATTGGTCTCACCAGTCCAGAGGCGACTGAAGGACCAGGGTACGCTTGTTTAGTGCATTCACATTTACTGCTTGTACAATCACAATCTTGCAGCTCACAACCACGGGTGCACTGCAAAAAGGGATGAAGAATTAAAACAAATATGGCTCAAATTTGGCCAAATGTATCTTCATTTGAAACCAGATTTTCCAATAGGACAAGCAAAACGATCTTGCTTTATTTTCTCATTCCAAGGGAGGAGACTTTTTTTCTTTTTAAAACAACAGTTCTTGAAATAAGACTAAACGGCTATGTCCCATTGCCAAATCCTGTTTTAAGACGTCAGAATGTACTCAGGTTAAGATAAAAAAAACACTGTTATTCCCTCATATTTTATCATTTTGACCAGTAAATCTTGATTCCGTTCTCTCTTCACAACAGTCCGATTCTGTGATCACTAGAGATTTCTCACCAATCTGTCAATCTCACGCTCCATCCTTCACTTTCCCATGAACAAGAGCCCAAGATACCTCTCCGCTTGAGGAAGAACCTCTCCTCCAACCGGAGCGGGAAAAGCAGTGAGTGCAAGGGCGCTCAGTTAAACGGGACGAGCTCAAGGTAGACCTGCTGCTCCTTCACTTGGAGATTGGCCAGCAGAGGTGGCTCAGGCATCTGTTTTGGAACACTTGGATGAGCTGGAGGATATGTGCATAGATATGAAAGTTTGGGAATCTGCTCAGATTGCTGCCCCTGCTATGGATGTGATTTTTAGTAGTCTTTTATTCACCGGGTTTAACAAATTAGTGTCAAAATAATCATGTCTTATTCTGACACTTATATTAAAACTGTTACCTCACAATCCGGCCTTTCTGAGGTCACAGTGGCAGCCTGACTGAAAGTGGTGAAAAGCTCTGATCATCTTTTCCGGGAAAGTGTGGAACAAGCTTTGACAGCTGCACATGGTTAAACAATGTTTTTGTGGTTTTATAAATCTTTTGGGAGTCTTGTGCATCCATTAAACTACAGTCCACTGCCGGCCACGGTTGTAGATTATTGTGGCATGTAGTGTGATATTACTATTCTGTCTCCTACCTCCTGCCATTTCTCAATTTTAAAGCTTTGTTGTATGATTATGCTTGTCTACATTCCCAGTGTGAGATGAATTATGAAGGAATAGGAGTTGCACTCACTGTTTTATTAGTTTTGTTATTAGTTCCTTTTTTGGTGAGATTATCTAGCATTCATATTCTTATGTAATTTACACGGCTCTTTCACATTGAGAATGTCTTGACCTAAATATAACTCTTTCATCCAGTTTGAATGGATGCGTGCTTCACTTATTCCATGAGGCTTTGGTGTGTTTTGATCTTGTCTCAAGAATAAATTCAATCGTTTAGTTGTATAATCTTTACACTAATATGATTTTTGTTATTTACTAAGTATTCCTAATAAAAAGTTGGATTGACCCTGGGTGCAATTCAATTTAATGTTTTTTGTAAAGAACCAAAATCACAACAGCAGTCTTACAAAGGAGGACTTACAAAGTTGTTGTTGTTGGATGTCTTTTTGAAGTTTGAAGATTATTGAATGGCCTTCGCCTAATCATCAAACATAAACATGAAGCTGCATAAAATCTCGGACATATGTATCTGGTATCTTCCCCGGGTTACACACATTCTCCTCCACCTGGTATCCGTCCAAACCAGAATTATAGATAGATACTTGCCTTGTGATTGGTCCAACAAATCAGCTTGAGAAGAACAAAGGAGTTGTGAGATTTCATAACACTTTGAAGCAACTTTTGTTAAGGTTAAACTCATCATTCTATCAATGTGCAGAAGCCAGTACTTTTCCCTTGTTTTGTCTATCTGAAGGCCAAGCTACATGGCACCGTGGCAGCTGCTGATTGGAGGTCTCCATGCCTCCGCTCTGTATAATACACTTGCATTCTGTTGTATCTGTTGTTCGTGCTGTCTCTACCATCGACAATAAAACATGTCTTCTGTCTGAATTTAAGACGCGATCCCAGACTATGCCATCTTCTTCAGGTGGTGGAAGGATGCGGGCCTTGTCTGTAACATCTAGTGAACAGAAGACTTTTTTTTTTACACAAAAATGTGTTATTTTTTTAAGCCAAAACTGACAAACCTCAAGAGAAACCATGCATCTGGACCAGCACACTTGGACAATCTGCACAGCCCCTGATTCCAGTCAGGCCTGCTGTGAGCTGCTGAGACATGGACAATACCATCGTCCTCTTTTGCATGGACACCATTTGGAAAAATTGGATTACACAATTTGGACATCATTTGGAACAATCTGGATTTCTGAATTTGGACATAATTTGGACTGAATTGAATTGCTGAATCTGGACACTGAAGCTGAAACGTGTGATTGAAAGACACGTCACAGAAGAATTCATGGCTCGACACAAATGCAGCCTGAAGAAATCAACACGGAGAAGTGGGAGAGACTGTTTTCGAAGCAATATCTGGAACCATCGACTGATGAAGTTTGGTATTTTACTGAAGATTGTTGACAAGTTTTATGAAAGATCTGAACATGTTTTATGAGTTTTTGAAGTATTCCGAGTTCTGAGTTTTTTGAAGTACCGAGTGAAGTACCGAGTTTATGAGTTTTTGAAGTATTGAGATATGATGTTATGTTGCTGTTTATCGATCCTGATGGTCACACGTGAATGTGTGACCAGAGGGGGGAATGTGAGATTTCATAACACTTTGAAGCAACTTTTGTTAAGGTTAAACTCATCATTCTATCAATGTGCAGAAGCCAGTACTTTTCCCTTGTTTTGTCTATCTGAAGGCCAAGCTACATGGCACCGTGGCAGCTGCTGATTGGAGGTCTCCATGCCTCCGCTCTGTATAATACACTTGCATTCTATTGTTTCTGTGATCGTGTGCTTTGATCGTGCTGTCTCTACCATTGACAATAAAACATGTCTTCTGTCTGAATGAAAGACGCGATCCCAGACTTTGTCATCTTCTTCAGAGTGATTTGAACAGTTCTTGAGAATTCATCCTGCTACATGAAAGAAGTCACGACCACAATTTTATCTATAGATGATACGCCATAGTTTATTGTCTTAATCATAATTAAAGTGTATAGTCAATATTAATGACGGTCTCCCTGTTTGTTGGGCTCAGGCTGCTGGAGACAGACAGCAAGTCTCTGCGCTCAATGAACGGCTCTCGGAGGAACAGCGGCTCGTCGCTGGTGTCCTCCTCCTCGGCCTCCTCCAACCTGTCCCACCTGGAGGAGGACATCTGGATCATGTGGGGACGCATCGTCAACGAGTGGGAGGAAGTGCGCAAGAAGAAGGACAAGCTGGTCAAGGTGAGACATCAACCTGTCGCCATAGTTACTACATAGACTTAACATTTAGTCAATAAACACTGGAGATATACTTGGACTTATACTTCCACTGTCTGTTTTATTTACAAAACGTGGGACTGTAGCTGTAGAGGAATAAATGAGCTTCTTTCAATAATATTATAGCATAAGTTTGTGTAAACTCTCAGTTGTACAGGGATTATTAAAAACAGAGTAAGCTTGCTCACCCATAATCTGAACAGAACTTGCTAACTGAAGTACAGATGATGTGTGAGCAACCTTTGTTTGTTTGTTTTGATATTTTAGCATATTATTTCCTCTGCTATTGTTATCATAGCATAGCAATACTATAGTTTAGTGCAAAATATCTTTGACACAAAATATCGTGACTCAAAGTTTGCTGTTGTGACTGGCCTAGTGAGAGCACAGGGCACATGTGAAGTACTTGTAAATCATGTAAAAGATTACAAACACGCTGTGTATTAAGAGCTTAAACAGGAACTTGTGGCCTGTCTACGGGAGAGAAAGAAAGTGAGGACAAAGTATTTTGTTTGTGACGAAGTCATCTTTAATTATATAGCACATTTCACTCCTCTCACTGTGATGACAGATGCAGTACAGCTCCGGAATCTGATCGTCACCGTCAAATCCTACTGTACATGGTTTTTAGTGGTAGGAAACTAAAGCCACCCAGAAGTAACCTACACAGACATGTGAGAACATGCAAACTCTACACAGAGACCCCGCCCCCTGAGGGTCGAGTCGAGCCTTCTTGATGAGAGGCAACACTTCTTACCACTGTTTCATTGTTATAAGATTAAGATAAAAATCATTTTTTTTGTCATACTTTGGTATTGCATCACCGGTTATGGAACAATAGGAATGAGGAGCACGCAAGATAAATGAACAGTAACTCTCTACTGAATAAAATGAAATAAAATAAAATCTCTAACTATAGCCTTTAAAAAGAAGCAAGTATAAAATCTCTAGCTTTAGCATAATTAGGAAGCAATCAAAAATCTCCAAATTTAGCGTCATGAAAAAGCTAGAATTAGTATAAAATCTCTAACTATGGCATAATAAAAAAGCAAATATAAAAAATGCTGTATATTCTAGAAAAATATAACAGTTTGAAGGTACACAAAAATTCATAGATGAATGTAAAACGAGTCAAATTTCAAACAATTGGAGCTTCTCTGCTTGTATATTTTAGTCCTAGTTTCACTCAGCAGCTCTTATACTTGTGCCTATGTTCCTTGTAAACTTCTATCACACAATTATTCATAATAATAATCAATCTAGTTGGTCCTGATCTATGACATGCACACACAATAATGTATAACAATGGCATTTCAATAATCCGCTACTATACCACTACTCTCTTGATCATTACTTAATCATTTCTAGTAAAATCATTACTATTTATTAAACAAAAACACTGTATTATGCCTTTGTTAATCACGTGTTTTCGGCCTGACGTGTTTCTGCTTCTACCTCCACAAAGGCCGATCTGTGACTGTTATTTTTCGTTCCAAAAATAAGATTATCTTTGCCCCAGGTGACCCCGCGGTGCCGCCCCACACGCTGTTATTTCACTTCTGACATTTCGGAGCTAAAATTAGACTGTTGTTGGTGCTCCACTCTCACTCTGTCTGGAAGTACGATAGCACTGGTCAAACCTACACATATGCACTCGAGTAGATAACACTTAAATATCACACAACTGGCATTAAATAACAAGGCGGCACCCGTTTTGGATTTCAGTGTCATTTCTGAATATCAGCAAAGGCCTTTGTTGATAACAGAATGTCAACTACTTCTACTCACACACAGATTCCACCTCCAGGCCTTTATGTGTGGAGTTTGCACGTTCAACAAAGTCATCACATAACAAGACACCAACAAAATAATCATGCAAATATTATGCTCCCACTAATATATTTCTGAAGTATTTATTTAAAACTTTTAATTTTTCATACAACATACAGATACTGATACAGATGTTTAATTTATAAAAAAAAAAAAAAAAATCCAGTTGGAAAAGGGGTTAGAAGAAGCAAAACCCCTCGTTCACACAATGCAAACGCACAAACGCTCAGACACACACTCACATGCACACACCCACACACACACACACGCACACATCCCAGTTGTATCACTGTTGTAAATCTACTTTCCACTTTGCTTCATCATTGTGCTGAGCTAGTGCTAGTTTCATCCAAAGTCCTGCTATAAATATTTGGAAAAGATGTGCTTCCTGTCGATAAAAAATGTCCCTTTTGATGACTGCTTTTTAAAGGGCACTGAAGGTATGAGTGAGAGTTTTTGCGTGAACTTTGCAGATTCTTAGTCCTTACTTTCTGGCTTTTAAGTATTTAACATAGAGCCGCAAACTGGTTCCACTGAATATCAAAGATATACATAGTCTTATAAACAAATGCTTATAAACAAGCATTTTAATGGAAATTTGCCACTTGGAACTCAAACATTAGATTTTTATGTATATATTTCAGGTAGTATTGGGATACTTCCTCCACTGATCTCGCACATATGCAGTCGCTGAGTACTTCCTTTCACAACTTCTTCAAAACATGACATAATGACCACAGCGCAACACACGACGTTGGCAGTAGTTTGAGAGATATTAATCATAAGGACTCCACACACTGATCATCTGTTTCCTTCGCCTGGGAGGAAGGAAGCTCAGTCAGCACAACTGGTTTGAAAACGCACAATCATCAACATCACCTTTTTTTGCAAAATATAAGATTCAATGTAAATCGCTGTTCTGTACTACCCACAGGACTACAGCTGTGAGAGCCTTAATGAGTCTGCGCGGTACAATCAGACTAAACTTAATTACATGAGTTGTTCTTCTATAATTAGAGTTGTGAAAATAAAATTATTAAATTAATATAAAATGTTTTTTTATTTTATGTTGAATACTCCATTTTCTTTTTTAAACAGATAGTGTTGCTTTGATTATTATTATTATTATATAAATCTGCTGTAGCTGATTATCAAATAATGAATGGAAGGAAGCACATATTCTAAGTAAAGGGTGGATTATACCAATCTCTCTAATCAGCTCTCGGCTCCTGCGGTTTAGATTAGGTCAATATGCCTGACTTTTTTTGTTACACAAGTTCTGTATAAACAATACACTGATTGCATGGGAAAAACACAGATGAATTTCCCCAGCTCTAAACTCTGCAGCGAGGACAGACGTGTGTCTTGTTCC